GGTCATAAAGATGAAACGATAGATTAATAATGAAAAATGGAGAAAGAAAGAGGAAGATAAGCTACATTTATGGAGGGTACATATTTGATGCCTTATGTGTACAGTGCTGCTGGGGTTGCATTATTTAACGGTTCTCATTAAGGTGGGGCTGAAACAGGCTAAATCAATAGTGCAGGACACAAAGCATTTCATGGGGGCTATAACTGCTCCGTGTGCACAGCTCAGCAGCATTATGAGATATAATTACAAAGGTTGGTTAAATTCATTCGGAGCTAAAACACTGCAGTTAGGGTCAGGAATCACCTGTGTGCCACTGAAGTGTCCATTTTAAAGAGAATACCAATAGTGGTCTGTGTTTGTGTGACATGGCACAATACCCTTTTAGTTGAGTATCCACATGTTTTCTATCTTATGAATGTCACCTTCAAGTAAAACTGAAAGCATATTTATTTGGAAACTATGCATATATGTACAAATATATATATATATGTACATATATGCATAGTTGAGTGTGGAAATTCCTTAAGGGAGAGAAATAAGTTATCATTACCTTAAACTGCCAAAGCATTGGCTCTCACAGACCAACTACAGCCTTAGGTACCAATAATATCATTTTCATCTACTCCCAAAATGTGTTGCTAATATTTTAAAAAGCTATTAAATCAAGTGAAAGCAAATGATTATGATAGTATGATCAGAGACTCTTCCTTGTGGCTCATCTCAGATATTTTGAGACTGTGTTGTTGCTTTGCACCTAAAATTAAAATGCATGTTTGCATCTGATGCTATGAAATTAATTTATTTAAGCAGGTGTTTGTTCCATTTTTAGAAGCTTGACAACTTGAGCACTCTTAGGCAGGTTAAAGCTCTTTTGAAATAGGTAAAGAAAGAATAAGAAAAACTGCCAGCTTAATGGCCCCTGCTGTTCAGCGATAACTGGCAAAGTGTCTCCTGCTTATTGAAAGCAGCCGCGTAAAGCCACTAAAGCCTTTGTGAAAAGGCTCAGTGAAACATAACCTGGAGTCCTCTTTTTTTCTCTTTGAAGTAAATTGACATTCAGCCGCAGATCTGGCTTGAAAACACCCCTTACCTGTCACAGTTCTCGAGCACCTTACATGAAGTTGGAGCACCCCCTTGTCCTGAAGGATCACTAACAGGTTGTCTATCTTCTCTGTTGTGACATTGAGTAGGAGAAAGCTGAATGCAAAATATAAGACTGAATCATGTGGGAGAAAAGTCTATATTTTGCAACAGAAATCTTAGTAGATGGGCACATCCCTTTGTGAAAATGCAAGACATAGAGGAGTGTGTCGGGAAGAAAAGCATGTTCATGAGAATGCCATGGACATACGCACCATTGATGTCACACTATGGAAACGCATCTAACAACTATAACCTTTCACCCATACATCCATTTATTTGTTTCTCATCCCCAGAGGATTTAGAACATCGGCAAGGAAAACATAGTTATGCTATTATGTTGCTTTTTCATGTAAAAAAAAAAACGCTGTTGGCTAAGCTCTGCTAAATGTGTGCCCTGTTACTTTCAAGATTTTATTTTTTATATTGTTTCTAAAATTAGGTGTGTTTGTAAATTCAAAGGGTTTACTTTCTTCTTTTTATCCAACAGATGTAAACATTATGTATAAACTGTGCAGATATTTTTTGCTGAAACCACCTCCAGTAAGTCATTTAATATTTAGGTTTGTTTATCTTACAGTTAATGTAGTTCAAAATGTTGAAAGGCTCCCCTAATCTTGCATGGATTTTCTCTTACTGTTGTCTACACGTTTGTTCCTACAGGTCTAACTTGTTTAAATGAGATATCACATAAAAAAGAAATATGAGTCTGAAAATCACAATGTGCCAACACAACAAAACTGTGCAACACAGTGCAAGACCCCATATGTTCATTAAAAAACACATTGGTTTTTTCTTGCCTTTTCTATAGATTTAGTTTGAAAGGACTTCAGAAACCAGCGAGTCCCCCGAGTACCACAGGCTCTGGGGACCTTCCTTTGATATCATTCATCTCGCCTCCTTTGTGAGCCTCTCTAACACAACGTGGGTCAAAGTGACCGTTGCTTTTCACCCAAAAGGGATGTGCTTAAATGACCTGCGTTTGTTGGTCAGTTCTTTGTGAGGATTGTGAGTCTTTGCTGCATGTAAGTCATAGTGTCCGCCTGGCTCTTTTCTCTTCTTTCTTTGATTTTCTTTTCCAGTTGGATGTAGTTTAAAAATAAAATAGGATTTTTGGCAAGTGAAATATATATTCTGTTTTATAAACAACTTGCCAATCGTAATTTTTAAGAATAGTTCAGAGTTGTAGACAGTACCTTTACAACAAGATGTCATTAAAAATAGGCATAAATGATGTCATACAACTTGAGTGCAGTGATACCTGTCTTTAGTGTGTGCTGGGTGAACTATGCACATAATCACATCATATAAAACTCCACTGCCAGATTATTGACAGAGCACCACATCTGATCTTTGTGTTTTGATCCATTTCTTTAGATGTTCTTTAGGATTAAATTGGTTGTATCACATTAAAGACCAAATCCTGAGGCTCAGCTGGCTCCCACCAACATCTTTGATATCTGATCCTTCATCCTTTTATGAGCAACCAAAGTCTCTTGACAGGCAGCATCTGCCCATGACTCAGTCTGGACTCCAGACCAAAGGTCACTAGCTCTTGTCCACCTGAGCCCGTTTACCTTAGATACTGTGGAAAAATATATTTTTTTCCATTTATTCAGTTACACTGAAAAAAGTGTGTAAATTGTTACTTCAATAATGTTACCTTGAAGGAAGTTAATCATGTCCAAGCTGAGCAAAAGGTAGTTTCTGATATAAACTGTTTTACTGTGATGGAAATTCAGACTTCAGTGAATCTTTTTGTCTGAAATTTGTAATATTTTTATGACAAATTGAATTCTCATCAGCTGCACTCTGCTGTACTCATTGTGCTGCTCTGACCCCTTACTGAACCCTTACTATTGGCCCTGTTCAATTTTGGGAATAGAATTGGTCAAATTTTGGCCATCTCCTGAGCACCAGCATGAACTCCCACCACCTTCATGTCACATGATGTCAGGACTTTTTGACTCATTGCAGAGCTGATCAACGTCCACAAGCTTAAGCCTTTGATTCAAACAAATGTAATGTGCCTCCAGAAGTCACCAGCTGTGTTTTTATTGATCATTTCATGCCTGGGTGTCTATCCATTGCAGTATTGGTCGCATCAGGCTTTCAGTAAAACTGTGCTTTCTCATCCTTAACCCATGCCAAGTCTGTTTTTAGAGAGCCAGATTATGCAAGGAGCGCACAGCCTGTGGCTTAATTTCAGGATGCCGCTGCAGCTCTGAGAAGAGATAGAACAACTCTTCTCCTCTTCCACTGTTTTAGTTGGTCACCAGCTATTTTGCTTCAGTAAAAAAAATAAGAATAATAAACTAAATCCATTCGACCCAAATTGGAGAAGGATTTTTAAATGTTTGCATTAGCTATGAATCACTAATCACATGCTTTAAAACAGAAAAATGACAAAAGCGTTTTACAAGAACGTATTCATTTGTCAACAACATGTATGTTGATGCTATTATCGAGACATGATAAAGCTCTTATATTCTATAATCGTGACACCTAGGTAAGTTCAGTTACTTATTTTCTGAGACTGAGGCTGGTGCCTCCTGCTTCTCAAGTTATGTTTCCTCCTTTTACACAAGGAATGACAAGTATTAGGCCAAAACATGTCCAATATTATGTGCATCTGAAAGAGAAAATATGAAATATGTAATCCCTCCAGCAAATGCACGGAACTGTATCAAGATGATAAAATGTTTCAAACATTTCAAAGGTATGCAAATCTTTGATGCAACAAACTGATTTTGCATTTACCATGCAGTACATCTCTGGCTCTTTGAAGGTTGCACTGAAACTCCTGAAATATCCCTTTTTTATCATTTTGATATATTAAAGCTTGGCTTTGACATATGTGAGCTAATCTCATGAGCCGATGAGAGCCTTCTGATTTACAGTAGCTTTATTTAGGTTTTAGAGTGAGAACTGCTCTGACTAGTTGAGATTTTCTGATGTTCATCTGTTGAATTATGATATGTCCTATGGGAGTTTTCTTTTTTTATATAATGAAAATTTGAGGCAAATGACTTAAGGGTTTCACCCTGGAGGAGTTACCCCTGGTGTAACAACACAATGTGAACAGCAGGGAGCACACTTTTCATACCGCTTTGTGGAGTCACTCATATTCCTGTGGCAACAGCTGTTTCTGAACTACCATACTATAGCAGTAAGGCTGTTTACTGCTGAGATGTGTGGAGCAACATCCAAGCAAATGATTCCCAACTCTGAACTTTACTGTGCATGAAAATTGTGTAAAGCTATACCATTTTAAAAGATGTGAGTACTGGAACGATCCCCTTTTTATTGAGCTAGTGCTAAATGTGAAAAACTCCTATTGGATATTTGGGTGTTTTCATCTAAAAAGTGGGTCAGAGACATTAAAATGTTTCATTATTCTGTTTTTTGTTGACAAATATAAGTATAAGGATGAATCTATGATCTTGCAAAATAATATCACAAAGGGTCTTTCTATCTGAAGAGTCCATAACTAGTCCATTGTCCAGTTCACTGAAGTCAACCCTGGGAATTTCACTATACTGTATAATAGATAATACCCCTGACATCTTTCTCCTTAATATTTCCTATCATGTTACCCATGTTTTATGTTGACTAATGTTTATCACCTACTTTGAAAGTTATTTTCAAATTTAGCCTCCAATCATTCTGATTAAAAAAATAGATAAATAAATAGGGACTGTTTCCTTGTGGTATTTATATCTTACCCTCATACAGATGTGAAGTTGAGCAAGATACCAGATTTCGTTTGAAAGCTGAGAACTTCCAGGGTGGGCAGGGCAGGGCAGGTACAGGTTTATAGGGAGAGGCTTGTTTTAAACGTGCCAGGGCTTCCCCAAATCTCTCCTCTCGTGTCGTTCGTCGGGAGCTCGGCATTGCGGGCCCGCTGCGCCATCCGTTTTCTTTTTGGAAACCGCGTCACAGAGCAGCTGAGACGGGCTTAACATTTCAAACGTCTGGCGGTAGGCTGTGAGTTTTTCCACCCTCAACCCTCTGTGTGTGTGTAGTAGTGTAGCCCCGACAGAAGCAGCAGCAGACCGGCTCAGGACGCCTCCGCATACGTGGGTTGCTCATGAGAATCTGTTTTCTGTGTACCGGGATTATTCCGTCGATTTGTTTTATTGCTGATGTAAGCAGATTTATTCCACTTCCACGCACGCACTCGGTCGATAACCCTGCCTGAGTGGAACAAAGTGCCTCACAAGTGAAATAGTCTGTTCACGTTAATGTGTGGACCACGCGTGCTCCCGTGACCTTTTGATTTGGCGGATTGGGATTTGTGACATTTTGTATTGGTAACGACGCTTTTTTTTTTTTTCATAGTGCGTCAAGATCCGCGTAAAGCCCTTCCTGTAGAATCTGCCTGTCAGCATCAACACATCGCAGCACAGAATAAAAAGTGAGCTCGGCTGTCATAGATGTCCGCTCAGCTGGAAAGAGGCCCGCAGCTGAAGTCCACGGCCGAACGCGATGAACTAAAATCCGAGTTTTTTGACGTGATAAACCCGGACGGATGCATGGACTCCGGGCTCAGGGCGCGGGACGCAGGGGGCCCGGGCTCCGAGGGCCAGCAGAAGCCGCGCAAGATGACCCGGAGCCCCAAATGCGCCCGCTGCCGGAACCACGGCGTGGTGTCGTGTCTGAAAGGCCACAAGCGCTTCTGCCGCTGGCGGGACTGCGGCTGCGCCTGCTGCCTGCTGGTGCTGGAGCGCCAGCGCGTCATGGCGGCGCAGGTCGCGCTCAGGAGGCAGCAGGCCGCCGAGGTGAGGACAGACCAGGGGCAGGTCAGTGGCTGCAGGAAACAAACAAACCAAAAAAAAAAAAATCTGTTAAAAGTGTACAAGTAACGCGTCAGTGAGCTGGAATTTAAAGGAAATATACGTTGTCAAATTTGGCTGACAATGCAGAAAAAAAAATGCGCACAGAGAGGAGAGATTTATGTTTTTTCGAAGGAAATCCAATTAAACCAGGCTAGTGAATATGTGATGCATACATTAAAAGTTTTTTTTTTTAACCACAAATATTTCTAAAGTAAGTCAAGAAATAGGATTTAAAGATGTAGTCATGTCCTATAACACGTGGTTCAATGTGGAGAGAAAAAAAAGACTGACACAGAAGAAGTAATTTCATCTGTTCACAAATGTATTTGTTATTTATTTAGTCATTTATAATATTGTTATTCCAACAACTGAGAGAGATACTGATGGAGAGAGATAGAAACTTCTTCGTTTGCATTATGTCTTGCCGTGTATTGAATGACTTACAAGAAAATACATCACGACAGTCAGACAAACATAATTCAACTCAAACTGAAACATAACTAATAAGAAAAATCACGGTTTCAAAATAAACAACTTTATTTTAAACATAATTGTAGTAATTACATAACCTACTGCATAAAATAGTCTTAAGTATTTGTTAAGGGTAAACAATAAGAAAAAAAATTAAAAATACATAAAAATGTCCTCCTTCATGTAATCTCTCAAATGACAATTGTTGGTTCTCATAAATAACATTAAAACCTGTACAAGATACAAAAAATCCTACATGGCCCTGCGATAGACTGGCGGACCGTCCAGGGTACCCTGCCTCTCACCCACTGACCACTGGGATAGGCTCCAGTCCCGCCACCACCCCATTTGGGAATAAGCAGCTCCGTAAATGGATGGAGGAATCCTACATATTCATCTCCACTGTACCTGTTTCTCGGTGTATATTTTAATTTTCCTAGGTAAGGGTACATATATATATTATAATTATGCGAAAATGTCTAATTCCTGTTCACTTGTTTCTCTCAGGGTAAAAGGGGGGTCAAGTGTGCAGCTCCACTGAGGAGAGCAGCATATCAGTGTTATACCAGCGCAGCAGAGTCAAGCATCGTGGCTAAGAACATCCTGCAGGGTAAATCTTGATTAACTTCTCTCTTTTTTCTCCGGGACTCAGCTTAACTCTTTATCATTAAATGTGCAGCTCTGGAAGACAGTTTAGACATGTGTTTGATTTTTTTATGAGTCACATTCGGGTGGAAAGTTTGTTGTTAGTCTTCAAAATGTTATTAAATTAATGTATTTTTGTTCTCATGAAAAAATTAATATTGCCTTAAAAAGAGTGCCTTTCCTTTGAGGGATGAACATGTGTTGTGTTAAATAAAAACTTTGCAACAGCTTGATTTCAGCTGCATTTAAGTCTCCATTTTGAAAAGAATTTTCATTCACAGACACACATTATTTATCTGAGCAATACCCTTACATTATGCCTTACTACATCACACCAAAAGGCCTTTATTACGTTACACAGTGTGCATTAATACTTCCTGGCAAACTGTCAAATCTCACGGGAGGCTTTGTCTTCTTTATTGCCCTCTCAGTCTTCCTTTGCCCTTAGCCAAGTAAAAATGACACAGCTAACCAACTGTATAATTAAAATAATAAACAACAAAGTCTTCAAACATCAATATAACAATTAAATGGTTGGAATGCTTTTACTATCAATGAAACGATGATGAATTTGTAACAGCTTTATTTCCAATTTTCAGGGTTAAAATCTACAATAGCCCCTGTGGATGACACGTCCTGCTGGTCAAAGCAGCCACAACGTGACCAAACACATTTCCCCTGCCCCTCCATCAGTACCCGGATGAGGAAGAGACGAGCCTTTGCGGACAAGGAGCTGGAGAACGTGATGCTGGAGCGGGAGCTGAGACAGAGAGAGTTGCAGAACAACATTTCTTTCCCCCCCTCCACCCTCATCCCCGTGGTTCACACTCCACCGCTACCCATCTACCACAGCCTTCACTGCTGCCCCCCAAACAAGCACCCGTCCTCAGTAGGGGCATCCAGCTGTGTGCCGGTATATAAATATAAGCCTCTTTATGAACGTGGCCTTGAGTTTTATGAGTTCCTCCACGTAAAGAGCACATCCTCCACAGGGGGTGACTATAATGACATTTTGTTATGCCAAAGCTCAGACCAACACAGCGAGGATAAGGAGGTGCAGATTTGCAGGGAAGACTGTGGGAAGAAAACCCAGCCAGAGGTAATACCTCTACCGAGACAACGACTCAGAAATGATGGCAGTAATATGCCACGTGTCGTCAAATCCCATTCGAAACCGACAGAAGGCATGGACCTCGAATGCTGTTCAACAACCACCATCTCTATTTTAGTATCAGATCAGAGCGTCTTGAGTGAGGCAGACAACAGTTCACCCAGCAGGACTTTGGATCCCAGACCTCTGACAGCTAAGGGCTGGAGCACAGACACTCCCTCCACTCAGACAGAACCTTGCGCTGACTTGGTCAAGGGCTCTCCGGGCAGCCCAGTGAGGACGTCCACTGTGAGGCCGTTGCCTTTCTCTGTAGAGGCTCTGCTAAGGGCCTGAGAGGCTAATAACAATAGATTTATTGCACATGTATAGACTTGAATTTAAGGCGATAAACATAAGATACCTTTATGATAAGATACAAAAGTTAGCTTATAATCCTTTTTTTAGATTTGATAAACTTGCGTCATACAATAATGTTAATGAATGTCAATATAAATATACAGACACATTGGTGTATATCTGTGTGTGTGGGTCTGTGTGTGCATGTGTATGTGTGTGTTTGTGTGAATGTCAGCACTATATTTTCATTTACCAGCTTACTTTGGTCAGCTTACTTTTGAACAATGTACATTTGACTTTTTTATCTTACTCTGTGAGACCTGTCCAGGGTGAATCCTGCCAGAGATAGGTAGGTATAGAAAACAGATGGATGGATAAATTCTTGTCTGTGAGCATAGAAAATGTACCACCATAAAACCAACCTGATGAAAAAGATGATTGGCTCAATTTGTGCTTTTTCTTTCCTAGACCAGGCTCACCTGAAAAGTAAAATGTGAACATATCGCAAACCAGGCATTAAATTTGTGAGATGAAATCCAAGTTTTTTTCTGATTGATACTGTCTTCTTCATTATTCTTTTTTCCCCGGGTGCCAATGAAATGATTGTACAGCCTAGCATAGGATCACATTCCTTTTAATTTATGATCTTATTTGTTTGTCGAAGACTAGATGAGAGACACTCTTTTGTGTTTTTAAAAAATATTTTACCTTGATATAACTTTATATTTTTACTCTTCATTTATGTCTGTTGCTCTTTGGTAATTAATTAATTTTCATGCAAAAAAAATTGTTAATTGTGAAGCATACAGTTTAAGATCTTATGTTTTATGATTTTGCCATGTCAACAAACTGAGGGAAGACAGAGAAAATGCAATGGGAGCAAATCGCAGGGTGCCAGTATTACCTAGGTGACATATTACTTTACTATATGCTGACTGACGCCAGTTGAGTTTGTTTGAACTCGCATTTGATCTATATCCGCTTACTTACTTTTTCTCTTCTCCAGCGTTTTGTTCTGTTTTGTAATCTTGCAGAGATGGAGGTCAGATACTTTTGACAACTCTGGACCTTGTGGCGTCAACACGGAGGTGATAGCGCTGTCTTTGTTTGTGAATGTCTACCAGCATATCAGAGTGCCTCTCCCCGTTTTTCTTCTTTACAGAAAACACAGAATGGCACAAAGGAGGATGAGGTTTTGAACATGGAAGAACAGAGCGTGGGCCGTGGGCCATTGTGTTTTACTGTATGCTGTCTGTGTCACTTTTACAATATTAAAATCTCTTCAAAACAGAGAGACTAAATTACCTAGATCAGGAACTAATGACGTGTATGACTAAAACAAAAACAAAGGTTTCTTCTCCTGGCAATACTAACAGGAAAAGGCTTTTTCATCTGGGTTCTGGTGGGCTCTGCAGATAGCAACCTTCCTTGAAATTCTGCACATGTTCTGCTGTTCTGTTAGGATTCTGCCAGTGACAGATTGACTTGATTATTCTATGCCTTTTGGATGCATTTGATTCTATCGGTCTGCAGTCTCCAGTTTATTTACATTTCCTATTGTGGACCTGGGGAGGGAAGGATAAAGGTGGAACATGCTGGGTGACAGTGAATTCAGACAAAATTGCTGACAAAACAGTGTCAACAGGCTAAAACTGGCTGTTGTTGAATCTATAACCGCTTCAATGCTTTTACCCAATTCCAGCCTGCTGACTTGTGTCATCAACCTCACGCACTCCTGCTGTTCATTCATTCATTGTGTCACATTTCTATTTTGGCCAGATTGATTTCAGTCTATTCTGGTTAGAGTAGCTCTGCTTTTTTATTTTTCTCAGCTACTGTGATAAATATATTTTCGCAGCCTTTTCTTTTAGCATGTCAAGCAAATCATTAAATGTAGTACAGAATTATCCATCCATCCATTATCGTAACCATTTATTCCCTAATGGGATCGCGGGGTAATGCGGAATTATCAAAACAATATTTTTTTCCTCCTCAGTTCCATCGTTTCTATCATACATTTTTTTGTATGATGAAATGCACCGACAGGGAACTCATCATTCTAGATACTTCACAGGGCTGGCCTCACAGGAAGACCTGACTGATACAGCCTGACCTCTCTACTTGTTAGGTATGATCAGTCAGCTTTCCTCTTGGACAGATCATCAGCAACATTTAGCATCAGGGCTCAGTGGAAAGCCTTTGATCGGCCTGCCAGCTCGCCTCATTACAGAAAAAGAGCAGACTACAAGCATATGTCTTCATGTAGCAACTCCATTTCATGACCAACATAGAGTTAACCTGAAATGAATGCAAAAATCCTTTGGTGTGACGAAACACCACAATGAGTTTGAAGAGATAGAAACCGCATTCTTAACCTTGAGACTGTTAATCATGTTGGTTGGTCCAAAATGACCTACAATGAGCATGTTTAACACAGGAATACACGGACATACTGGCATGAGAAAAAAAAAAGCTAACTAATATTTTTGTCAACAAAAACTGATATGCTATTGCTTCCTGAACATTAATCAATTGCATTAAGGTTGGTTGAATTTCATGTTTTTTTCCAGTAGATTTGCAATAACTGTCTGATTTTGGAACGGTCCTAGAGTGTCCTGGTTATAATACAAGACTGCTTTGATATATTACACTGCTGATTGATTTGGTTTGTTTGTGGGTTTGGTGTATGTCTGATATCTTCAAGTGCACAAATGTGCTGAAAAGTTCAAATCTTAATGGCATCTAAACAGCCAAACAAATCAGTTTATTTACAATTTTTACTCCCAACATATCAGGAAAAAAATTATATGTTGTTCTTCTTGAGAACATTTATCTGACTCACATTTTTTATATTTTCAGATGTACAGTGGGAACTTTTGTTTTTTGTATGGTTTTGCTCTTTTGCTTTCTTCTTAAATGAGCTTAGTTTTAGACTTCAGAGATATTGTATCAAGTCAAAACTCAGAATAAATCCTTTGTTTAATATACATAACTAGCATACTTAGAGCAGAAATGCCAGTAACAGCAATTTCAGTCATGAAAATTACTTTTCTAACAACTGCTGGACGACTATAAGAATGTTCTTACATGTGCTTTAGAGTAGCTACTTTATTTTTTCTACTTGTTCTATAAATGAGAAATATATTGGCCCATTACAACCTAAGGCCTCCATATCCTGAGTCTGAAAAATTTCAATTGTCGGCTGACATACTTCATACTGCATGGCAGAAGTCGACAAGAAGCCAGTATGTCTTCTTGGAAAAAAAGAGACCTAAATCTTCTCTGATGTAAAAAAAACTCTTGAGATGTATGTATCTTTTGATTTTTCCAGGGGCAGTACTTTACAAGTTCCAAATATAAGCCATATTGAACGGAATTATAAAGTAATTATATGACCACTTCACTTGGGAAAATGGTAACATTTCACCCTATGGCCCTTCCACAAATTCCCATTAACTACCCTTTTATATGCTCATGCCTGGATCCAGGGGCCTTGGTGCTTTTTTTGCTTAAATAGAAAATCTCCAAAAATGGTGAGGACTCTCAAGGATGCTGGAATATGATTTTATTCATGTTAACTAGCATGTAGTTTACTATAAATACATAGTAGATATTTCAACAATTTAAATATTTTAGCTGAGTCTTTACAACAGTTTTGAGGGACACAATGTACACAGCATGAATAATATGAAATGTGCTTAAGTGTGGTTACACTTTAACTCTTTATTAGTATATTTCCCATTACTAGAAAAATTCTAATTAATTTCTGCCCTAATACTTGCATTTCCTCTATTAGCCTGCTTTTTTTTTTTTTTTATTTGTAAGTTGCTATAATTGGTATGCTGATGAGTGTTCATTACACTCCACACAGCAGTCCCTCTATTTTTTCAACAAGTATCATGCAACATTGAGTATCATGGCTCAGGGCAGAGTGTTTGATCTGTCTGCCAGCTTGCCATGCACTTTGGATTTGCTGCTGTCCTACCCTGCCCTGCAACAGCCCTGCATGTTCCAGAGTGTTTAGTAGCCAACCCTCAGATACTGGTGTAGGGTTTCACTCCACTTGTGTATATGTGTTTGAAACATGGGTTTGCTATCTTGATTTGATTTGCGACCACAGGCGAGAAAGAATTGCCTGACTTAACACATCATTCCAAGGCAATACAACAGAGGATATATTTATGAATGCAAATACTTCTGTTTAGGTGAGAGTATTGAACAGCAAACAAAAATGTTTTGGTCCAATCTCCTCTACTAAATACGAGCCCAGAGTTAAAGAGTCTTTTTTTAGAGTTTGACAAGTCAAGCATTGATTCATACTGACCCACTCCATCCAGTGGAGTGATTTATTCAGATTCTAGAAAACAGGCCAAGAGTCATCCATCAGTTCTCCAATATGTGACAATGACATCAGAGAGATTTTTGAGTTATCTATTTTTATCTACAGAGATAAAGTCATTGTGTCTTTTAAGTCTGGGATACGGTTGAGAGATATATGGTCACTGAACATGTCAGAACAATGATGGATGGACAAATAAACAAACAAGACTCAATCAATCTATCATTTTACCAGATGAACAATATGAATCTGTCTGCACTTTACCAACAGATGTTGTGTACTGCTGCAAGGCTGCACGGTTAAATAAAAAAAGTGTAAACTGAAGAAACCTCCGCTTCACAGCCAATGTCTGAAAAATGCCCGCTGACTGAGGCATTGTAAAAAACAGGGTTTGAGCTTAGTTTAAATAATCTTTTAAATCTAAATGTAAAGAATCAAATCATTAGTTTCATTTGAATGATACTTACATCCATATTTGTTCTCTACCTTAAAATATTGATTGACATGCAGAATATAGAAAAACACAAACACAATTTGGCCTCTTCCTAATGCTTATAACTAGTTAGATTTGCATTCACTGTCAGAGCTCTACTATAAGCTCACAGTAACGACGATCAGAGCTGCGAGAAACAACAACATTTTAATAGAGAACAAGTGTTTGGTCGACTTTCTGACAGAGACATTCCTAATTGAGTGTAGCTGGGTTCCTGTCTAACGACCGCCACCCTTCATTTAACAGAAGTACAAACACACAGCCTCTCAGTTTAAAAGACAGCCCTGTGTGTAATCGAGTCTGCCGTGGTTGGACAAGAAATTTCACAGCTTTAAAAACATCTTTGAAACAGGCAGTGTAGAGTTCTCTTCTGCACCACCCCACTTACCCTCATCCTGTACTATTTGGGATTTTCCATGCTCCGATGTGTGTGTGTGTACAGTATTTGTGTGTCGACCTGCCCTGTCGCTTTTCCAGCGGCCTTTGGGACGGCTGAGGGTGCCCGGTGCTGCAGCTGTGTGCTGATCCAGTTACCGTCACATGTTGCTGCTTGGCTGCTGAGGAACTACTTCTGCAATATTAGAAACCAAAGAAAGACCACAAGACCACACTTTGTCTCACCTCTCTCTGAATAGCTGTTTGTGCTTCGAAAGAACATTATAGCTTTGAGTAACAGCCAGATCTAAGCTTGTAATCCT